AAAGTTAAAGAGATAGTTAAGAAAGAGAAAAAGAAAAGTTGGGAAAAATTCGGAGAAAAAATGGAAGAAAACAGCACAGAAAAAGTAAAATTATTTTATAGAACACTGAAAACCCTAAGAAGCAACAAAGAAACGAAACTAAAACAAATAAGGAACAAGGAAGGAACAATAATAAAAGACGATAAGATAATAATGGAAAGATGGAGGAAACACTTCCAACTGATACTGAATGGAAATCAAGCGAATACAATGGAGAACGGAAGCCACATCAAGAGAGTATACATGAGAAACATGGAAAATCCAGAAACTATAGAAAAAGAAGAACTAGAAGAAGCAATAAGAAAGATAAAGATTGGAAAAGCACCAGGAAGCGATGAAGAAGCACCAGAAATGATGAAATATATAGGAGTAAAAGCAAAAGAAAAATTGTTATACATATATAACCTAATATGGAAGAGAAAAGTAATAGCCAGAGAATGGACAAATGCAGTAATTATAACTATATACAAAAAAGGAAACTCAAGAGACTGTAAGAACTATAGAGGTATGTATATCACTACAATGTGTAGCAGCAAAAGTATACGAAACCATAATAGAAAGGAAAATCAGAAAAGAAATAGAACATAAATTAGAGGGTGGATTAGGAAAGTGGATTCAGGAAAGGACACAACACACCAGACCATATATTCACCATGCAACAAGTCATGGAAAAGGCCTTAAAGAAAAATAGAGAAATATATCTGAGCTTTATAGACATGGAAAAAGCATTCGACTCAGTCAAAAGAAAAGATATATGGGAAAGCCTAAAAAAGAAGCAAGTAAGTATAGAACTGATAGAAGCAACAAATAGTATATACATGAAAACAACAAACACAGTAAGAATGTCAAATATGCAGTCAGAACCATTTGAAACAACTCAAGGAGTTAGACAAGGAGGAAGTCTCAGCCCAGTGCTATTCATAAATGTAATAGATGAGATAGTGAAAGAATGTAAGAAAACGTTCAAGAAATACTACATCGGTTGGAACAGAATGCAAATGATAAACGCTGAGATGTGTACATTTGCAGACGACATAGTATTAATTGCGGAAACAGCAGAAAAACTGAAATAAAACTTAGAGAAATGGAACCTAGAAGTAAGCAAATACAACTTAAACGTAAACAAAGAGAAGACTCAGATAATGAAAATATCAAGGAAACAAGGGACAGAAGATCAACTAGAAATAATGATAGATCAACAAAAAATAATACAGACAAATTCATACAAATACTTAGGAACAGTAATAAACAACAAAGGAGACATTAAGGACGATCTTAACAATAGAATGGAAAACATAGGAAAACGATTCCAAGCACTAAATAGAGGATTCCTTAATAGCAAAGAAATATCAACAAAGACCAAGATGACAATATACAAAACAATCTATAGACCTACAGTGACATATGGAGCAGAAAATTGGATACTAAACAAAAGGCATCAAAGCAGAATTCAGGCAGCAGAAATGAAATACCACAGAAGAACGATCGGAGTAAAAAGAACTGATAGAATCAGAAATGAAGAAATAAGAGAAAGACTAAAAATCAAACCGATTCTCGAATCAATCAAGGAGAAAAAATTGGCATGGTTCGGACATCTAACCCGGATGGACAATAATAGACAAGTAAAAAGAGTGTGGGACGCCAAACCGATAGGGAAGAACATAAGAGGAAGACCCATTAAAGAATGGAATAGTGACATCTCGCAGATACTGCAAAGTAAGGGTAAGACTTGGCATGAAGCAACTCAGATGGCATACAATAGGAAGGAATGGAGAAAGTTTGTCAAGAGCTAGGACACCTCAGAAGATTATAAAATATTGTAATATAAAGAATTGTATTATAAACGGCCCAACACCGAAAGGTACAAATGGGTCTACTGATTAAGTAAAGTAAAGTATATTTCTCAAATAAGAACCAAGATAACATTGAAAGGAAGATCTTCAGAGAAAGATAACGAATATCAACTCAGAAATACTCTCTAACATAAAATCCTTCGAAATAAAACAAAATATAGCACAACTAAAGAATAATAAGGCTCCGGGCACAGATGATATACTTGTAGAAATATAGAAGGAAAGGGATGAAATTATTCACGAAGAATTAAAAATTTTTTTAACCAATGTCTTCACAGAGGAAAAGTCCCAGATGATTGGAATGAAAGTTTGACAATACTGTTTTTCAAAAAAGAATACAGGGAAGGTTTGAAGACCTATAGGCAAATCTCTCTGCTGTCCCAAATGTACAAACTGTTTATAAGACTAATAACTAATAGGTTAACATCGAAGCTCGATAGCTATCAACCGGTAGAGCAGGAAGGATTCCGAAAAGGTTACAGTACAGCGGATCATCTTCTTACAGTCAGAACGTTAATCGAGAAAGCCAATGAATATCACTTGAACTTATACATTGGCTTCGTTGATTATGAAATGGCATTCGACTCCATAGAACTTTAGGCAATAGAGAGAGCTATGAATAACTGCAGGATAAACTTCCGATACAGAATGCTCAAACATAATATTTACAGGAAAGCTAGAATGAAAATACAAATAGATGCGAAAAACAAAGCTATACCAATCAACAGAGGAGTTCGCCAGGGAGATGTTATCTCACCAAAGCTATTCACACTTGGACTGAAAGACGTGTTCAAAGAATAACTGGGCAGTTAAAGGAATACATGCTAATGGAAGAAAACTGAGTCATTTGAGATATGCTGATGGCATTGTAATATTCGCTATAATTTCGAAGAACTACAGCCCATGTTGATGCAACTATTTCAAGCTTCAGAAAAAGTAGGTCTAAAGATAAACTGAAAAAAAAACTTCAACTTTATCCAACTAAGACTCACCAAGTCTTAGATGGATAAAATAGTAAAAGCACAAAGAGCGATGGAAAGATCAATGCTCAACTGTCTAAATGGTCGAAAAACAGCAATGGCTGAAACGTTGAAAGCTACTTTCTAAAACGAAAACTGCAACCAAATGCAAAACAATATGCAAAGAGGCTGTTTTAATTTGAATAACAATCACCTAACTCCACATTAGGTGATTAGGAAAATCACCTAATGTGGAATTCGAATACCAACATTTTCATCAACAATAGTTTTCTATAATATCGGGTTGTCACATTAGATATAATACTTAAAGAACATTTAACAAAACTTGCTGCTTAAATTAGAATTTGAAATTAAAATCTCCACAAGATTGGTGACATTACTTGATGATTTTCAGCTAAGTGTTTACGAATATCTGCACTTAATCTGGTTTTTTTAGTAGCTGAATATGCTGCTCTTATTGTTGCGTTTTGCACATATGATGACCTCAATGTAACAATTGGGGTCATCAGAAAGGGGAGAGAATATATTATGTTTAATCTAGAACTCGCTGGTTTTCCCCTTTCGCATTGGGTATTTATATTTCTATAGAAAAATAATAAACACGTAGACTATATAAACTCTCTTTAAATAAGAAGTAAAAAAGAAGTTATAATTATAACTAAACAAGAATATCTGGATGCAGAATGTCGATAAATAGGTTCTAAAATTACATTAACAACAAAGGAATTTGAGATTTCGATTGCTATGGTTGAGTATGATTATTATTTATTATTATTGAGTTAATGCTTCGACAACTAAGATTATTGGCATAGTACAGTCAGGTACCTAGTGTAGTGTGTGTGTGTGTGTGTGTGTGTGTGTGTGTGTGTGTGTGTGTGTGTGTGTGTGTGTGTGTAGAGTAATTGTCTTGATATTTAGCAAAGTCGACGTCATTGTCTTTGCTAAGAGACGCTAATTGTATGTGAACGTCTGCGGTCCCTCCGGTGAGTACCGATCGCACAAGGATAGAAATTATTTTTATTCATGAATTTTTAATAAACGAAAATTTCTCCACCCAGATGAGATTCGAACTCACGACCTTTAGGTTTAAAGGTAGGCGCTCTTACCACTGAGCCACAAAGGGGAGTATGATTAGAAATAACGCATAAATTGATTTTAGAGGTTAAAGAATAAAAAACATGCGCACACATAATAATATAATTAATCCGTGTTAAAATGAACAAATCTTGTTGATAAAAGGTATATTATTGAACGATTATATTGAACGTAATACACAAATATTAATAAACTCAATTTAAAAGTATAATCGGTAATAAAATACGCATTAAATTATTAATGAAATTAATACAATTAGTAAACCAAAAAAGAATTGTGGAATTATTACAATCTAATACATATAGAATTCTACGATAAAAGTAATAACGTTTAACCTAACGTAAATTGTTCCCACTATAGTTTAAAGGTTCAAAATCGCGACACAATATGTAATAATTGGGCACCAAGTAAACGTACTTGGTCCGTACAGCAACAAGATAAATGGTGTATTGTACTTTATTCAATGAAATGATAGCATCAATCGCTATCGAAAAAGACGTCTTCAACGACGTACAGGAACCACAAAGTGAATAATGGAAAAACCTCCACCCTTACTGACACACACACACACACACACACACACACACACACACACAAACATACACACACACACACACACACACACACACACACACACACACACACATAAACTTCGACTATCTGGTTTTGTAGATGGAATTCGTCTCTTATCTCAAACACACATCTGTATACTACGGGGAGAATCAAAACTAACAAAATGTCTGTTACTCTATCTAACAAGATTTATATAAAGTTGCGAAACTGTAACACCTGCACTGCAAGACTGAAGTACAACTAAAAACAGAGTAAAAGACAGACAGTGTGGCATGCAGTGAAACAGGGCAAATTCAGGACTTACGAAGGCAATCTATCTTTTGTTACTTTTAACTTTTTTTTACTGGCCAATTGGCAAAAAACTTTTTTTATATTGTAATTTTAAAATTAATATACGAGATGTCATATGATGAATAAATACAATACGAAAATAAGTGTTTAACTATCTCCCTTTACTTACCACTATTTGGCGCATCTGGAATTAAATCCGGATTGTTATCATCCGACACTGTGTCAGTGTAGAGGGGCTGTACATGAGCAGTTAAAGGACTCTCTTCAATCTTAGGACTTCTTACACGTGGATTTCGAACAGGACTATCAACCTGTAATGTAAAATAATATTTCAGTCGTATTTAAAAGTAACGGTCACACACATCATGATTTTTATTAAAAATTCCTGGCTCAAACAAAAACTCTAAGACAAATTCGACATTTTATACATTAGCGCATTGGCTGCCACAAGGATCACCGGCGATCCTAACTAACAGATCACAATTTGTGCCATTAAGATCACCGGTAATATTTGTGCGTATTTAACTTTCACAATTATTATAACTGTCGCCACTGTGGGGACGCTCAAACAGTTTCACTGTGGCACACTACTAACCCATAGCTTGCTATGCTGGCGCAATAATGTCGTAAATAGTTTGTAACTGTGTCTGTATATCGTGCAAGCAAGTATTGAGGCCAGTATGGGTATATGGGTGCCAACTCTGGGGCTGTAGCAAAGCTAGTAATCTACATATTATCCAGAGATTTCTAACCAAAGTACTGAGAAACATTGTTGATGCTTTTTGGTATATCGGTAACATCAACTCCACCAGGACCTGGGTATGGAAACTGTGACCGAAGTAATCGAAAGAACAGCAGGAAGTCATGAGCATGCATAGTCATGTGAATGTCGAGGCAATCCAGATTCTTCACAACACTGAACTTAAAAGAAGACTTGAGTTAAGGTAAATGTATAACAGATTAGTGTAATAAGCAGAGTATGGTGCTGTGATTTTATTGCATGTTAGTTGTAGTGCATTAGTTGATAGATATAATAAGAGTAAGCCATAGGGTAAGCCCTTAGATTTAAGTATTAGCTGTTTATTAAGTAAGGTTAAAAAATAATTGATATTTGGTCATTTGTGACCATATAGCAGGATACAAACACCGGACAGGTATTATACAAAAAAATTTTAGCGAATACCATATTTTTTTCTGATAAAATTTTTCCATCCCCAGAGGAAAAGCACATATTGGCATAGGGTAGATTTTGATCTTTGGGCTATTTTCTACGTACTGTGATAACTTAAAGCAAATATATGCACATCAAAAGAATTCTGCGCATATGTAAAAAGAACCACCTATATATTATGAGTGTTCTTGACATTAAACCTCTTATTGAGAAATTAGTCTTACGCCGCTGTTTAACAAGCCTCAATGATACAAATCCCGCTGCCTGGGCTCTGACACGAAGTCCTGAACTCTCATCGAATCACTTCAGACTACCTCAATCAAGAAAATCGATGGTATTTACGCAAGGCGGCAAATCAGAAAGACTCTCTCCTGTTTGTTTGCGTCCTTGAATAGCAAATACTCCCGAGTGTCCCGTGGGGTATATTAATTTTAATAGGGTTCATTACTGAACGTAAACACCGCTACGTTTAAAAAGAACGAATATTATTACTAATCGATATTCAGGGAAATATTAAATTTAATCCGGCTTTTGTATGTCCACCGTTTTACTACAATAAATTACTTTTAATTGCCAGGTACTGCAATAGCTTTAACTTTGTAATTAAAACTTGTTTGTAAAGTAAAAAGTTTGTATAAAGATTACTTTACCCATTCTTATCCGCCATACTGATTAATGTATTTTTATTTATTTCAAATTAACTTTTATAATGTCGCTTAGCTTTAAATAGATATGTATTTATATAATTAAATGAATTGAAATTATATATAAAGGGTCACTCAAAGAGTGGTAGGTTTTTCGGTCAAAAGGTGGAGAAAAAAGACAAATAAGGTGGCTACTTCATCTATTTATTGAAGACGTTTCGTTTTATAATCAGAAAGCATCATCAGTTCATCTAAAAAGAACAGTATGAAAAACGAAACATCCATAGAAAAGTCATTAAAAGTGTGTTACCTCAAAAAGACATGTACAAATTAACAAACTTAGCACAGCAAAAGAAGATTAGGTGCTGAAGGTATATGAAAGCAACAGGTTTAACACCCACGCAAACAACGTAAAAGGACAGTGGCCTTGAGGTTAAAATATAACAGAACAACAAGGCAGTTACCAACCGCTCGTGCAATAGAGCGGTACATTTAAAGAATATGATAAATTTGGGTGACAACTTGTCAGTAACAACCAAAAAATGAAAGGAAAATGTGGTTAAGGTCACCATTTTTCCACCAATGATTGGTTGAGAGACACAATGAACAAACAAGCGAGGTCAATCCAAAATATCATATATTAATAAGTCTACGTTGTGACTGGTTAGCCAGCCACAGGTAAAGATTGATTCAACTTCCACAGTCCAAGGTTCATAGCATTTGGAACTGAGATTAAAAAAGATTCTATGAATCAATTTTAATTTAAAAATTTTATTAAACAATTTGATCAAAAAAACAATATGTAATATAAGTAAATGTAATACTGACATAATTATCAATAAAATGTAAGTTGAATGACACTAAGTTAAATACAGAAAGAAAATATTATTTTATTTTGTTATTATTTGAAATTATTTATATAAAAATATGATAAAACATACACCTTAGGGGGCAATTTTAAAGTAAACAACATATTAAGCCCAATTCTGCAAAATTAATGCATGATAAATTTGGCTCGAGTTACTAATGTCAGTTCTCTTATTAAGAGCATTAGGGTGCTTAAGTATTAAACACATTTCCAAAAACTGTCTTTTAACGAGATTGCGTTCATTGCCAAGAATCTTAACTTCATTAAAGTCCACTTTGTGCTTAGTGTTAATAGCATGCTGGGCAAAAACGTAAGTATACTTAGATAAGTTGATATCACTGCGGTGTGTCGTAAGACGCCCTCTCAGTGATCTCCCTGTCTGACCGATGTAACATAAGTCACACTCAGCACAATGTATATGATAAATGACATTTACTTATTCCAGAAGGGACATGGGTATTTTTGTTTTAGAAAACAAATTTATGACAGTTTTAGCATTCTGAACTGCAATTTTAACACGTATATAATTCTGTTTGTACAGTTTTTGAGTTTTTCAGTAACTTGAGGAAAATAAGGTAGAAATGAGTAATAGGTAGTTGGAGTCCCAAGTAGAGTATTAGGCAGAACAAGAGTTGGTAGAGAGTAGTAGAAAGAGTAATAGAGATAGAACTCTTGTTCTAAATTCACTAATAAAATAAACAAATTCATTAATCACTTACAAAACTTAAAGATCATAGATCAACCACTTGCAAAATATTTACATACTTATGATGGATATGCTCCCAGATTTTATTGTCTACCTAAAATACATAAGCCGACATTCAGCATGAGGCTGATTGTTTCCTCCATTAATTCACTAAATATTATTATTTCTAAATTTTTAACTGACATCTTATCTAAATCTTATAATTGTAACAACAACTTTAATATTGTTGATTCTATTCACTTTAGTGAATTTATTAATAACTTTGAACTTCCACAAGGTTACATTTTAGTAAGCTTTCACTAATTTACCTCTTTCTAGTGTTATTACTTCCTTAAGAAATCACTGGAACTCCATCCAACCTAACTGTCCTGTATCCTGGAATGTATTTGCAGAACTTTTGCAATTAGTATTTGACACTAATTTCTTGGTCTTTGACGACAAATATTATCTTCAAATATTTGGGACACCTATGGGTTCCTCAATCTATACCATCCTAGTTAATTATGTATTGGATGATTTAGTATCTGACCGTATGGGTCTTTTAGATTTCCAATTCCCTTTTATTAAGAGCTATGTTGATGACTTATTATTAGCCTTACCCCAAGAAAAGATTCAGGCCACCGTGTCTCTGTTCAATGAGTTTGATCCTCATTTACAGTTCAGAACATGTTCACACACTTTCTTCCAGTTATCTACAGTTACTCTAGCAAATTCCTGTTCCACCAACACTTTTACGTCGTCTTACTTAAAATAAACGTTTTGTTTTGCAACTTCATTTTTTACTTGCGCTCAAACCATTTCTATAGCTTTCAAGTCTGGATGACATGGCGGAAGTTTTAAAGAAATATGTTTACATTTTTACAGCTCTCTATCAAATTTATATTGAATATTATCTTGTTTGTGTCGTTTGATGATTTGATACAATTGCGCTTTGAACATTGACGTTACAAATGGTAAATTTTTTTATGTCAACCAAGATATCATATCCATTTTTTTAGAATGACTGGTGAGTGATTTATTAATTTGTGCATTATGATATGACGCATTATTAGTAACAACAACAGATCCAACAGGCGAATTGAGGATTAACTGTTCTTTCCTCCATTTTTTATAATTTTCTGAATTCATATCATCATGATAATCTCCTGTCTTAGTTCCTGACTTAAAAATCAAAAGGGCATTCTGTATGAAACTCATCTCCCCACCACAATATACAATAACCAACATACATTCTTATGAAATGTTTTTAAACAATCCTTTGCCACTGGAATCTGTCTAGCTATTTGGCGTAGTGGATCCTGTATGTAGATAGGTTTTATCAACATAGATATACAATTGACTTACCTTCGTTTCTGTACTATTTAATTTTGTCTAAATATTTTATGCGTAAAGCACGAATATCATTCTGTTCAATTAATAAACGTCGATAATCTTTCGTTTTCTTCCATTTAAATCCCAAATATTTCACAATTCTGTAAAGAGAACTCACTCTTTCAGTTCACTCGTACACCTCTTTAAGCCTTTTCTGCAAAAGCTTCAATGAAACACGACAACGTTCAGTCACATGAAAATGATGAATGGTATTTGTAATGAACTGTTTCTCATACTACCTCAAGTCTGTCATGCTTGCTTTTCTTTTAGCAAGTGTTGTAGCAAGAAATTTTATTGTATTATTTGAGTCTGGGTTTGTTAACATACTCGCCTGTTGAATGATCCTTTCTACTGTACGTAAAGATACTCCACTAGCTTCACCCACACGTTGTTTAATACTGGTTCGATTATCTTTAAGAAATAGTATTTGCATATATTTAAATACATTGTAAACTATTCCTTCGGATTCTGGTCTCAATCTTATCTGTTTACTCGTACAACACTTAAGCACCTCCATTCTACAAAATAGTTTTAATACTCATGGTATACTT